TTAGTTGAGATGGGGGAGGGTGTTAGAGACAACCTGAAAGCCATAAGAAACACATACAAATGGAAAGAACAGCAAAGATAAAAAATGCACCTTCCATCTCCAGTGTTAACTCCATTGGCGGATGCCCTGACTCAAAGTGGTTTCTATTATATCCAGTGTTTACAGTTTGGTTCAATGGCTCTCAGCAACCCTACTTATAGACAGTTGAGATGGGGGAGGGTGTTAGAGACAACCTGAAAGCCATAAGAAACACATACAAATGGAAAGAACAGCAAAGATAAAAAATGCACCTTCCATCTCCAGTGTTAACTCCATTGGCGGATGCCCTGACTCAAAGTGGTTTCTATTATATCCAGTGTTTACAGTTTGGTTCAATGGCTCTCAGCAACCCTACTTATAGACATTGTACCAGCATCCCTGGTTGCCAGCATAGAGTTGCCAGCTTTCTAACTGCAGACAGCCAAGCATCCGTAGGTCCTGCCCCCTCCCTCCATCCTTCCTCCAGCTGTCCTTCACTCTCTCCCATCCTCACTCATTTTGACCAGGCTCGATTCCGGGTGAGGTAGACTCAGGGTGAGTTCTGGAGTAGGGCCAAGGATGAAGAGTTTGGAGGAGGGGGCTCCAGGCTGAGGAGTGGGGCCAATGGGTTTAGAATGTGGGAGGAGGCTCCAGACTGGGGCAGTGGGTTGAGCTGTGGAAGAGGATGAAAGTTGCAATTGGGGTTGCAGACTGTGCGGTGGGGTAGGGGGTAAGCGGTTTGGAGTGCAGGGCGGAGGGGGGTGAGCTCTGGGCAAAAAAGTAATTTAGTTAAAAATATATTTGAGAGAGTGAATTTGTCTGTTCATTCATTTGTCAAGAACTCCTCTTAAACGGTAAGAGGTAGGACCGCCAAATTTGGTATGCAGCTTCCACATTGCTGGCTGTTCCCTTTCGTCTGAAAGTGCACAGTTTGCTCCATTCCTTAATCTGGCTGGGGAGCACAGGGGGCAGATGAATGTGGACCTGCCCCAGCTGAGGGACATGCATCTCTCCCCTGGATGTTCCTGCTGGAACTGCAGAGGCCATTGAGAGGTGGTTATCACCTGGCCCCAGCCTGCTGCAGTGAGAGAAGGCTGAGGTAGTCCTCTCTCCCAAGAAAAGCCTGCATTCAGAACCCCTCATCCCCAGCTCCATCCCAGAGCAATTATTTAAATGAAGAAAAACAAAAATTAGTTGAGTTAAGGACCCAAGCAACCCCAAGTAAATCTAGTAAAATCCTTTGTTATTGTAAAATCTTTGTAAACATTTTTAAAGTTGGTGAAAGTACATATACATATCTACTGTAATGGAGTTCACACAATGTAAATTAGTGTTCCCTTTTTTCTAAAATAAGTGAACAATGTTATGAACACACTAAACCTCTGTGACTGATTAATTCAGAATAATGTTTTTTTTCAGTGAGTTAAATATATTGAACCTATGAAAGAGCCATTAAGTGGTAATGGAACCATTTAACAGGCACGTGCATACTCTGAATTTACTAACAAACAGTTGTGCATTTCTATGTCTACAGAACCTTAGTTTAAAATGTGCATCATGAATTCCATAATTAATTTTGTATTCAGCAGACAATTGACTTGCCCTTACTATAAAGTTTTTGCAGATAAATTGCTGACAAACTTAAGAGTATATCAAAAAACCTGTGACTGACATTTTATTTCCAAATGTAGTGCTTTTAATTAGGTACCTCCTGCATAGCTAGTCTTCACAAACATCGTTTGCCATGAAATGGAAAACATGCTAGATTTTTTTTTCTTTTAGAAAGGAGTTTCAGAAGAGTAGGGTTTTTTTGCTTTATTTGGGTTCAGGGATTTGGCTGAAAGGCAGGGGAGCCCACAGCCCCCACAGGCCTCTAGGCAAAGTAGTCAGCTCTCTGCGCCTCCTAGAGTGTGGC